TCCTCCTCTCTCCTCCTCTCCTCCTCTCCCTCCTCTCTCCCTCCCTCTCCTCTCCTCTCTCCTCTCTCTCTCCTCTCTCCTCTCTCTCCCTCTCTCCTCTCCTCTTACCTCCCTCCCTCTCCTCTCTCCTCTCTCCTCTTCTCCATTTCCTCCCACATCTCTCTCTCTCCTCTCCCTCACTGTACCTCCTCCTCCTCTCCATCTTGCAGGGATATAGTCGACTCCTCGTCCATCTGTCTGTTCATCCGTGAATCATTTTGTTTAGGAGCATAACTCCAAAAATCATTTTGCTATCATTTTTAGATATTTGTCATTTTTATTTTCTCGGTTTCCATGGAAAACAATTTGTACATAGTCTCAAAGGGGAGGGTGGGCTTTTGTTTCCTGAAACTTCGATTCAGGACTGTTAGAACTCTATAATTAAATCAAGTGGTGCCCTTTGGACATTTATATTTTTTAGTATCTGTCAGATGACTTAGTTGTTCAGATGGACTTTGTGTGTGTGTGGTTTGTGGGTTTGAAGGGATATGTCATCTTCTGATGACTCTTGTTATGATTGTTTACAAGTGCGTATGCTCTACAAGATGGAGATACCTGAGAAGATCCAAGTGGTCTTATTTGGAATATCATGAAAAATTACATGTTAAAATACACTCTCATGGCTTCACGTTTAAAGGTGTTGTGTAGTAGGCTAAGGTTAAAGCGTTGGTTATCTCGCCAAAGACCTGCATGGTTCAATTCTCCACATTGGTACAATGTATGATGACCATTCTGGTCTACACCACCCTGATATCACCTGAATATTGCTAAAAACGGCATAAAACCATACGACCTCATTTCATCTTTAGGAGAGCATCAAACAGTTCACACCGTGGAATGTCAAGGAAAACCAAAAAAATATCGGAATTCTGTTCATTCAAACCTCATAAACTTGATGCAAATGGACCATTGATCTGAAGTCTGTGAATAACATATATGACGGCCCTCAATGAACTATTTGGTTCATTTGTATCTCTGTTTGATCAAAAGCTTGATCACCCCAGCTTTATTGGACATCACCTTGTTCATCTCTTTATCACTAAGCACATAATTTCTGTTGTTCAATAGCTTGAAATTAACATTTGAGTTAATCGTCAGGTGTTTGGTGCCTAACTGAGTTAAATTTTTCTCACAGAGGGCGAGTTTGTCGTATCTTAGTCTTCAACGCAACCCGAGATCGCAACTCCACAGCATTGCTTTCAATATTAAAGGTGAGACATTTCCCACATGATCAGATCTTGGCTACCAGTTATCTAACTTACTGAATTATCTCCCTTTGAACAGTATTTACCGTGTGTATGAGTCATTAAACCCCACATGGGTACAGTGTGTGAAGCCCATTTCCAGTGTCCCTTGCTCTGATGCTGCTGGAATGTTGCTAAAAGCTGCGTAAAACCATACTCACTCACTCACTCACTCAAAGTTGTTTATTGCTGATGTTATGGCTACCATCTTGCTTGAGTTGGAAGTTTTAATTTGCATCAGCATTGTTTCAGCCATATAGCGATGAGACCGACAGAGTCTGCACACATACACTTGTTAATTACACAGTACAAAGGAGTTTTTAAAATACATTCTTTATTACAGTATTTTTTACCAATAGAAAAGTCATAACACCAAACTGAAAAACAGCCAAATTGTAACACATATACATTGAGTTGAGTCGAGTTAACATCTTGCCATTCAAGATGATTGTGTATGGCCTTCACGACACAACATATGGTAAAACTCTTGGACTTCACCTTCAAGGATGTGACATGTCGATTGAGAGTTCAGTTGTCATTATTTGGTTGATTGCATTTCATCCTCCTGAACGACATTGGACATTGCCCATAATATCAAGAAATTGTTTTTTCTCTCAGACAATAATAATTACTAAATTTTTCATTTTTTTATTTTCAGCCTTTGAATTTTGATGCTGCAGTGTTTTGTCCTAACCTAGCGTTCACAGGAAACGTGAGTAACACACCAGGTGAGTTGTTTCTCAGTAAACGTGAGTAACACACCAGGTGAGTTGTTTCTCAGTAAACATGTGTAACACACCAGGTGAGTTGTTTCTCAGTAAACGTGAGTAACACACCAGGTGAGTTGTTTCTCAGTAAACGTGTGTAACACACCAGGTGAGATGTTTCTCAGTAAACGTGAGTAACACACCAGGTGAGTTGTTTCTCAGTAAATGTGAGTAACACACCAGGTGAGTTGTTTCTCAGTAAACATGTGTAACACACCAGGTGAGTTGTTTCTCAGTAAACGTGAGTAACACACCAGGTGAGTTGTTTCTCAGTAAACGTGTGTAACACACCAGGTGAGTTGTTTCTCAGGAAACGTAACACACCAGGTGAGTTGTTTCTCAGGAAACATGAGTAACACACCAGGTGAGTTGTTTCTCAGTAAACGTGTGTAACACACCAGGTGAGTTGTTTCTCAGTAAACGTGAGTAACACACCAGGTGAGTTGTTTCTCAGTAAACGTGTGTAACACACCAGGTGTGTTGTTTCTCAGGAAACGTGAGTAACACACCAGGTGAGTTGTTTCTCAGTAAACGTGAGTAACACACCAGGTGGGTTGTTTCTCAGTAAACGTGAATAACACATCAGGTGAGTTGTTTCTCAGGAAATGTGAGTAACACACCAGGTGAGTTGTTCCTCAGGAAAACATGAGTAACACACCAGGTGAGTTGTTTCTCAGGAAACGTGAATAACACACCAGGTGAGTTGTTTCTCAGGAAATGTGAGTAACACACCAGGTGAGTTGTTTCTCAGTAAACGTGAGTAACACACCAGGTGAGTTGTTTCTCAGTAAACGTGAGTAACACACCAGGTGAGTTGTTTCTCAGGAAACGTAACACACCAGGTGAGTTGTTTCTCAGGAAACATTAGCAACACACCAGGTGAGTTGTTTCTCAGTAAACGTGTGTAACACACCAGGTGAGTTGTTTCTCAGTAAACGCGTGTAACACACCAGGTGTGTTGTTTCTCAGGAAACGTGAGTAACACACCAGGTGAGTTGTTTCTCAGTAAATGTGAGTAACACACCAGGTGAGTTGTTTCTCAGTAAACGTGAGTAACACACCAGGTGAGTTGTTTCTCAGTAAACGTGTGTAACACACCAGGTGAGTTGTTTCTCAGGAACGTGAATTATACACCAGGTGAGTTGTTTCTCAGGAAATGTGAGTTACACACCAGGTGAGTTGTTTCTCAGTAAACGTGAGTAACACACCAGGTGAGTTGTTTCTCAGTAAATGTGAGTAACACACCAGGTGAGTTGTTTCTCAGTAAACGTGAATAACACACCAGGTGAGTTGTTTCTCAGTAAACATGAGTAACAGGTGAGTTGTTTCTCAGTAAATGTGAGTAACACACCAGGTGAGTTGTTTCTCAGTAAACGTGACTAACACACCAGGTGAGTTGTTTCTCAGTAAACGTGAGTAACACACCAGGTGAGTTGTTTCTCAGTAAATGTGAGTAACACACCAGGTGAGTTGTTTCTCAGTAAATGTGAGTAACACCAGGTGAGTTGTTTCTCAGTAAACGTGAGTAACACACCAGGTGAGTTGTTTCTCAGTAAACGTGTGTAACACACCAGGTGAGTTGTTTCTCAGGAAACATGAATAACACACCAGGTGAGTTGTTTCTTAGGAAATGTGAGTAACACACCGGGTGAGTTGTTTCTCAGTTAACGTGAATAACACACCAGGTGAGTTGTTTCTCAGTAAACGTGTGTAACACACCAGGTGAGTTGTTTCTCAGTAAACGTGTGTAACACACCAGGTGAGTTGTTTCTCAGTAAACGTGAGTAACACACCAGGTGAGTTGTTTCTCAGTAAACGTGTGTAACACACCAGGTGAGTTGTTTCTCAGTAAACGTGTGTAACACACCAGGTGAGTTGTTTCTCAGGAACGTGAATAATACACCAGGTGAGTTGTTTCTCAGGAAATGTGAGTTACACACCAGGTGAGTTGTTTCTCAGTAAACGTGAGTAACACACCAGGTGAGTTGTTTCTCAGTAAATGTGAGTAACACACCAGGTGAGTTGTTTCTCAGTAAACGTGAATAACACACCAGGTGAGTTGTTTCTCAGTAAACGTGAGTAACACACCAGGTGAGTTGTTTCTCAGTAAATGTGAGTAACACACCAGGTGAGTTGTTTCTCAGTAAATGTGAGTAACACCAGGTGAGTTGTTTCTCAGTAAATGTGAGTAACACACCAGGTGAGTTGTTTCTCAGTAAACGTGACTAACACATCAGGTGAGTTGTTTCTCAGTAAACGTGAGTAACACACCAGGTGAGTTGTTTCTCAGTAAATGTGAGTAACACACCAGGTGAGTTGTTTCTCAGTAAATGTGAGTAACACCAGGTGAGTTGTTTCTCAGTAAACGTGAGTAACACACCAGGTGAGTTGTTTCTCAGTAAACGTGTGTAACACACCAGGTGAGTTGTTTCTCAGGAAACATGAATAACACACCAGGTGAGTTGTTTCTTAGGAAATGTGAGTAACACACCGGGTGAGTTGTTTCTCAGTTAACGTGAATAACACACCAGGTGAGTTGTTTCTCAGGAAACTTAACACACCAGGTGAGTTGTTTCTCAGGATATCTGTGTAACACACCAGGTGAGTTGTTTCTCAGTAAACGTGAGTAACACACCAGGTGAGTTGTTTCTCAGTAAACTTGTTTATTATTGCCCTGCCTTTTGCTCAGTATTAAGGGCATAAGGGCGGTGGGGTAGCCTTGTGGTTAAAGCGTTCACTTGTCACGCTGAATACCCGGGTTCGATTCCCCACATGGGTACAATTGGTGAAATCCAGTTCTGGTGTGCCCTGCTGTGATATTGCTGGAATATACTCACTCAAATCATGAGTATATTTGAACTGCTCTCAATCTGAATGCATGTAGGACACAATGTTTTATGTTGGATAACTTCAGTATTTAGAATCCCTTTAGGGACAATATTTATCTGGAGGCTTTCCTTTGTACTTTTCAGACCAAATAAACAGAACAGTCACCAAAGAAAAACAGCTCAGCTTCTCGCAGGTCAATAAAACAATCTGGGACCAGATCAATGCTTACAGAGATGACACACCACAGCCATCCAACTCCACCAGCGACAAGCCCAACTTCATAGACTCTTCAGTACAAAATGGGGCGTTGAATACGAACCAGTTTGATCTCAACCGTAACAACTGCAACTCAAATGACATCCCCTCGAGGGAAGTGCGGAGTCACACGCCTTCCCTTGTATCCTCCAGGCGTTGTATTGGGCAGGTCAAGGTCGCGACACCAAGGTCAAGCTGCCCGCTGATGCTGACATTCCTCCGATTTCGGACAAACTGCAAGACAGCACTCACATACAGATTCTGGTCACGGGAAGCCTGCACTTAGTAGGGGGCGCTCTGGGACTGTTAAACCCAGATCTGTGGTGATGCCAAAATTTTCACTAGCCCACAACATATTTTGTTTCCAGATCTTTTGGAAAATACTGTAATGAAATTATCATCTTTTTATGACTTTTATTACATTAAAATGGTTGAAAATGTTATTATTTGAAATCACGATGATGTTTCAGAAATTGATTGAATGTGAAGAATGTTAGTAATTTTCAATTCTGAGGAAAGATAAATTTGTGTGTCTGCCATATTTTTGCAGGTGTTAAAGTATTTCAGTAGGCATCATCATCAATCAGATACGCTACATTCCTCCAGTCCCATCCATACATACATACCAGGGTTTCATCTAAGATTCGAGGGGCAGTGGGGTAGCCTAATGGTTAAAGCGTTGGCCCGTCACGCCGAAGACCCGGGTTCGAATTCCCACATAGGTACAATGTGTGAAGCCCATTTCTGGTGTCCCCCGCCGTGATGTTGCTGGAATATTGCTAAAAGCGGTGTAAAACCAAACTCAGTCAGTCAGTCAGTCTAAGATTCGATCCAAACCAAGTGCCCCTGACACGCAAACTGATTTTAATGAAAGTTCGGATTTTCTAACATGAGGGGTGTTAATCATTGCATTCAGTGCAGTAGTTTAACACTACAGATGGTGTTTGTTTCCTGCTAGATGTGAGATCAGTCATGAAATGTATGGTGTGTGCGAGTGTGTTTCCTGCTAGATGTGAGATCAGTCATGAAATGTATGGTGTGTGCGAGTGTGTTTCCTGCTAGATGTGAGATCAGTCATGAAATGTATGGTGTGTGCGAGTAAACAGAATAACCTAAACCCAATGTTATGTTTCATCACATCTGTGGAATAATGCTTGTCGTAAGAGGCGACTAATGGCATCGGGTGGTTAGACTTGCTGGCTATGTTGACACATGTCATTGTATCCCAAATGCGTAGATCGATGCTCATCCTGTTGATCACTGGATTCTCTGGTCCAGACTCGAATATTTACAGACCGCAACCATATGGTAGGAATATTACTGAGTGCGGCATAAAACTAAACTCACACACTCTTGGTAATAGTCTATGCAGATATTCACATTGATTAAGGAATTGTGTGGTCACACAGGTATGCCATATTGCAGATATGGACCTACAGAAGCTGACAGGTGCTCTCTTACAGTATAATGGCCATAACTATTGGCTAAGAGTTTGTTAATTAAAATGGCTGAATTAAGTATGATAATTTGTTGATATATAATTGCATAAGAACTGTTACTTTTTTGAGGAATCAGACAACTATTTTATTCCTCATGAAACACATATTAAATATTGAAATTTTCGTTTTCATTCTGTAAGACTGTGAATTCTTTGAATTTTAGTTGTGATGTTAGCCTGCCAGCATAGGGGGAAATATTTTGAAACATATGTTCTAGTAACCATGGCAACAGTGAGAAGGAGTTTGCTGACCAGGGTTTGACACTAGTCCACTAATCCTGTAATCCAGGATAAATGAAAAGTGGGATTGATTAGTAATTTCTCACAAAATGTTTCAGTATTAAATTAGCTACACTGAAATGGTATTTCATATCAAAAGGCACGCGAGTGAGATTTGGTTTATCATCCAAAGTCACAAGTGTCTTAAAAAGTTCTGCTTTTAACAAGCTTTGTCAGGGGAGAGGTTCATACCATTACTTGATATGACATCATGGTAACCAATGACATCACAATAATCTGCTGTCACTGTGATGCAGTTTCTGTGTAGCTCTATCTCCTTGGAGGTCACGATTGTCTTGTGTTCCATGTTGCAGGAACCACTGTGATGTGTGGTTAGGTATGCTAGTGGGCCATAGCTTGTGCTGGTGTCCTATTGCATACAGCTGCAGTCAATACAAAACTACCTCATGTCATTAATCACCCATATTATCTTTAGACCTGACCATTGCTTCCTTGTTTTACAGGTGGCAAAGTTTGATCCTAATGTTCTGTAATCTGAATAATGATAAATTACTGAACGTTTGTTATTGTGAAATACAAGGAGGAGATGATTGGTTGGGCTGGGTTGTTGTTTAACACCACACTCAGCAATATTCCAGCTATATGGTGGCAGTCAGTGAATAATCAAGTCTGGAGCAGACAATCCAGTGATTCACAGTATTAGCATCGATCTATGCCACACTCAGCAATATTCCAGCTATATGGTGGCAGTCAGTGAATAATCAAGTCTGGAGCAGACAATCCAGTGATTCACAGTATTAGCATCGATCTATGCCACACTCAGCAATATTCCAGCTATATGGTGGCAGTCAGTGAATAATCAAGTCTGGAGCAGACAATCCAGTGATTCACAGTATTAGCATCGATCTATGCCACACTCAGCAATATTCCAGCTATATGGTGGCAGTCAGTGAATAATCAAGTCTGGAGCAGACAATCCAGTGATTCACAGTATTAGTATCGATCTATGCAGTTGGGATCAGGGTGCCGTTGTACAAAACAACCTAGAGCTAAAGTAAGTCTCTGTTATCGTCGGGGAGTTATGGTCACCTTGGTGCTAAGATCACTTTGTGTAAGTTCACCCAGGTGGTCCTGACTTACCTGGTTCATGGCATTGTACATCACTGGATTATCTGATCCAATATTCCGATGTCTTGTGCACGTTGTCCAGCCAGGATCCATAAGATTTGCGTCAGTTATCAGTTAGAATGGTTTATCTGATGTTGAAGGTATCCTGATGGAAAACTTCAGGGATTATGAATGGCTTTATGTCGTATCACTATTCGGACAAATGGCAATTCAAGTGAATTTTGATTGCTTTGTTCCTGCAATAATGTTGAGTAAAATAACTTTGCTGATGGTGTTCTAAGTGTCATTTTAAAAGAGCTGAAATATACTGAACAAAATATGTTAGAGACCAAGAATATATGGGAAAATTTTCTTGTAGTGAAGATAAAACACACAAATTTATAAAAAAAGATATTGTACAAAATATTAATAATCTTTAATTTCTTATTTTGAGTGATATTGTGAGTATCTAACTGAGACTGTCTGAAGTGGTGATAAGCAAGCTGCCTTAATCCAATGTGGCCTCTCTTTTTTTACCCTCAAGATCTGCATAATTTAAGAGCTGAGCATACCTTGATTTGAAAGTTATCAGATATGTTCATAACAACTAGACTTTGTTGGGTTTTTTCATCAAGGTAATGTAAACTGGATGCTCACTAAATGCATAGGGAAGGAAAAAAAATTGATTTAAACGTTTTAATAATGAAGTGTTTTTCAATGTTTGCAAGTGTCCAAATTAATGTTTAATGATATAGTTAAAACAGTGCTGATACAGGGGGAACAATCATCTTCCAAAGCAGCCTTACACCTTAGTCTTCCTAAGATATTTACTTTTATACCCCGACCTGAGAAGGTTTGGTGTGTATATTTATACCAAGGAATTCCATGCATCTTAGTGTCCGTCCAAATACATTTTTGTTCAACCAATAACTTGAAACTTTTTTGTTTTGATTCTTTTAGAATTTGAGGTCCACCTTCTTAGTCTAAGGACAGTTGCTGTGCAAATGCTGATTTTGATGTTTTAATCATTTATATAGGAATTGCAGCAATTTAAGAATTTGTTCAATCAATAACCTTACAACCAGGTATTGGGTGTTTGTCAGATAATGACATCTCTGTTTATAGGAAAGGTGTAGTGATACTAATCTTGTATTGTTATCAAGAATAACCAGTATTGATTGTTATTCAAGGGTAATCAGGAAAAGACTAGGTGACGGCTACATAGGCATATTTGATAAATGTCATACAGATATTTACATTTAAGTTAAATGCAGCCCTAATATGTGATATTACCATTCAGCGAAAGAGGGCGCCTAACCCAAGTAGCTCAGGTGTTGATCCATCTCCACAGCCATGATGAGGGACCTGATTAAACTGATATACCCGTTCAATGCACATAGGCAGATCCGGGAATTTTTTTTTTTACGTGTGGGTGTGAGTGGGGGGATGGGGGGATTCGAACCCCTGAACCACGCATGCTGTTTTATTTTCCTGAAGATGGGGTTTCTTGCATAAGGTGTATGTTATCAAGGTTCAATTGAATATGTGTACATTATATACAATTGTGTTCTGTATCTACCTGTGATCAAAAGAAGACTTAATAATAAAGTTTTCCTCCTGAGGATGTTTGTGTTAGGTGGTCTACTTCCTGAACCCAGGGACTTCTGGGTTCAACATGCTCCAAATGGATCCAGTGGTCCGGTTCGCTAACATGGTGGTGGTTGTGACACGTTAAGTGCTCCCCTACATGGTCTCACAATATCGAGACCAGTGAAGATACGAGTTAGAATGTGTTTTCAGCAACACATGGGGGCGGTGGGGTGGCCTAGTGCTTAAGGCGTTTTCTCGTCACACTGAAAACCCGGGTTCGATTCCCAAAATGGGCACACAAAATCGAGACCAGCTGTGCCTTCAATAACACATGGGGCGGTGGGGCAGCCTTGTGGTGAAGGCGTTGGCTCGTCATTGGCAGGCCTGGGTTCGATTCCCCAAATGGGTACAATTTGTGAAGCCCATTTCGGGTGTTCACCGCAGTGATGTTGCTGGAATATTGCTAAAGACCGCGTAAAACTAGAACTCACTCAGTCACTCAACAACCCAGTTTGTGAGAGGCGACAAAAGGGATTGTAGCTCTAAGAATTCCTAACTTTGATGGTAGCCAATGGGTTTAAGAAGTTCGTAGGGCTACGAACGTTTCGAGAATAGCTAGCCTGGTTCTCTGACCTAGTTGACTGATATCGATGTATCTGCAGATCGACGCTCACCTAGTTGACTGATATCGATGTATCTGCAGATCGATGCTCCTGACGTCAGTCACTGGATTGTCGGATCCAGACTTGATTATTTACAGACCGCCATTTCATAGTTGGAAAATTAACCAATCAAAAAGCAGAACACTCTCTTTCACTTTACAATTAGGAGAAACCTGTTTCAGTGAAAAGCTGCCTCAACCCAAACTTGACTTGGAACTGAACATTCCAACTACATACACTCAATTCATTGTCACGCAACTTGACTTTCCGGCCGCCTCCGTGGTGTAGTGGTTAGAGCGTCCGCCCCGAGAGCGGAAGGTCGCGGGTTCGATCCCCGACCGCGTCATACCAAAAGACGTTAAAATATGGTACTTGTTGGTCCCTGCCTGGCGCTCGGCATTAATGGGTACAACAAGGACTGGTCGGCTCGGAGTCAGTATAATGTGTCTGAGTGGGGTATTCATGCTTCACTGTGGCATGGTATCTCAGTGAACTAGCACTATAAAACCAGCTTAAGTCTGGGCTAGTACAAGCAGCCGCACATAAGCATACACACGCATGCACGTTGTCATATGAGCGAAATATTCTCAAGCACGACGTTAAACCCAATTTCACCTCACCTCACTTGTCTTTCCAGTTCGATATAGATACGTGCCTAAATGACATCTCTCATGATTGATTCGTGGCATGTGTTGTGAATGTTCTGTTATCTATAGTCAGCGTTCGAAATACCTGGCTGACCGACCGGGACGGGTTATTTTCAACACGGACTGCCAGATTCTCAATTCACCTGCCCGACGGTCGGGTTAATATTTAGACAAGTATATTAGTATTTTTTGTGGGCAGGTAAGTTTTGGTCAGGGCTAGCAGGTTTTACATCTAACCAGCCCTGTGGTCTGGCCTCTTGCTTAAAACTCGTAAAGTGCGACAACGAATGCCATATTGTCTCAAAAGGATCGTTAGGCCACGCTTTCACGGTCTGTAATCGTACTGAAAATCAAAATCAAGCGAGCTTTTGCCCTTATGCTCTACGCGAGGTTTCCGTCCTCGCTGAGCTCGCCTTAGGACACCTGCGTTACCTTTTGACAGATGTACCGCCCCAGTCAAACTTCCCGCCAGGCAATGTCTTCAGAGCGGGTCGCCCAGCCGCCGAGGCGGCCGGACTTAAAGCCAGAAACTGAGCCCGCGAAGGCCCCATCTCCCGCTTCACTGAATAAGTAAAGAAACGATGGAAGTAGTGGTATTTCAATTGCTGAAATCTTTGGGAGTTTCATACCTGCTATAGTGACTGAAAATTTGCTTTTAGAACCTCAAAATGCCTGTTGATCGTTGATCGTAAAATGTTTACGAGGTAATGCGGCCGTAACACCAGCTCGTTCACTACAGTGATTATTGTCATCTGACCGGAGAAACGAATTTGAATATTTTCCATATCGTGATACGATATATTTTCAAGATATCGGTTAATACTCCAATAATGTATATATAAACGGTCAGTACAAATGGATACCCAGAACTATCTTCAGAAATATACACAATTTGGTACAACACGTTTTCTAAATTGTTAAAGCTAAACGCATCAAGGTATTACACACCTATATCTGTGAGTTACACGTGCTATAGCGTTAAAGTTCATTATATAACAGACCCGTGGAGATCCGGGTTAGAATATTGATCTTCAGTAACCCATGCTTGTCATAAGAGGCGACTAACGGGATCGGGTGGTAAGGCTCTACAATTGCGTAGATCGATGCTCATGCTGTTGATCACTGGATTGTCTGGTCCAGACTCGAATATTTACAGACCGCCGCCATATAGCTGGAATATTGCTGAGTGCGGCGTAAAACTCAACTCACTCACTCACTCATTATATAACAGTACTAATCAGTGGAGAACATGAACAGCAGGAACAGGAACATTATTACCTCACCGTCACAGTGTGTTCGACCCGTGAAGAACTGGTCTTTAACAAGCCATGCTTGTCCTAAGATAAGACTAACAGGATCGGGTAGGTAGGCTCGCTGATTCGCATGTCATCGTATCCCAATAGTGTAAATGGATGCTTATGCTGTTGATCACTGGATTGTCTGGTCCAGACTCGATTATATACAGACCGCCGCCATATAGCTGGAATATTGCTGGGTGCGGCGTTAAACAACACACATATCACAGTGAGTTCTCTATGCAAAAACATAAGCATCTCTTATGGATGCATCTGAGTATAACAATCTCATATGTTATTGCATGTTTTGTCCTTCGGTATTCATGTCGGTCGAAACTAAACACTGAAGAGTGAATATGACCTCCTAGTTTACTTGACTAACCAAAAATACTACAACTGAAAAAGTAACACTGCTTTTGACAAAAACCTTGACTGACTGTAATGATTATGAAAAGAAAAACACAAGAGACGTTATCACGCTTTTGAAGAAAAGATATATTCAATATATATGGCCAGAAGACCAAGAGCACATTTCAATACACAAAACATAGCACATGGACAGGTGAAAAATTTACAATTTATACAGGTAAACACAATTTCAGGTAAATTGCAATATCTTTAGGAGTTTGGTACGAAATGGTGAATAGTATGTACAGAAATCTTTTATTCTAACAAAACGAAAAATCAAAATATTTATGCATGCTGCATTAGTTGAATTTATTCCTCTAAGTTGAAAATTATCTTTGATTCCGACTGCCCAAATTTACTTTCGGGCCAACAATTCTGTAAGCCAACAAATAGAAGTCCCGCAGAATCCTTTCAGGCTGTTTTCACTGGTTAAGGAAATGCTGCTAGCCAGCGACAAATGCAAACTGCCATGGCAACCACCTAAATCGCTGTCCCAAACATGACTCCAGCACTCGCAGCTGAAGGATTCACCCCAGGTTCATGGAGTAACCGAGTATTTGCTCTTTGAGTCGATGACCACGTACTCCTGAGCTCTGTCCACGTTGGGCGGTGGCATGAATGGTGGCCGTCTCAGTCTGGGGAGATCAACGCTTGAAAGAGATCCTGATTTGACACAGTAGTTGATCTGGCAGCCCTGGTCATCGTGGGCGAGATGTTGGCTGTAGCCATACGGACATCCCTTTGGCCAGGCTTTGGTTGCTCTGAAAAATGACCTCAGAGATTGGGGGCTTGACTGGGCGTTGTCTTGGTTTCTCATCGGCGCCAGTGGGTTACCTGCTTCACAGCTGTAGAAACCGCCAAACGGCACGGCGTATTTAGCGCCAAGTTCATAGTCATCACTGATACAGATATTCAAATCAAGAGCTATTTTACGAGAAATATAGCCCGGTGGGCAGCTCCTGGATTTCGTTAGTGGGTTTATAATGCTGGAAGTGTACAATCCACCGAACAAGTACCCGTTCTCGTGGGCCCCATCTGTTGCTGCACACCAATAGAGTGAATATGTAGCAGAACTGTAGCGGTACTTCTCGTACTGTTCACCAATGCAACACCAGAGGAAACCACACAGAATGCATGCTGGATTCGGCTTTGGTGTAGACAGGGTCGATGTGTGTATTTGAATGGATTCATACCCAACCGGACATGAATAGTCTCCTGTTTTAGGATTCCTCTGGTTCATATCATTCTTGGAGCAAATATCCCCATTATTTGACAATCTGTGCAAGTTGCAAGTTTGATAGACACCAGCGAATGATGTATTCGTGTGGGACATCTCGCACGACCCGTCATTAACATTGGCTGTGGGACTGAAGTTAGGAGAGTCAACTTTCATGCAGCCACGGTATGTATTGAACTCGAAATATAAACCCACAGCGTCCTTCACTAGGTTAAACGTTTCACTGACTAGCATTGGTGACAGTTCTGGTAGCTTGGCAGTGGTTATCAGGTAGAATATTGGGTCTCCCTCTCTGTCAATCGCTACCAAGTTCTTCTCAACTCCACCGACCCAATCGTTAGCTGAGTAGTTACTGACCTTGAACTCTGGACCTCCAAATGCAAAGACCAGCGATGATGACCTCTGCTTCTGATATTTTTCAATAGCAGTTTTGGCTGATGAAGATGTGTAAGAAGCACTGAAGTGAAAGATGCTGAAAAACGACGCTGACGCTCCTATCTTCATTTCAGTCTTCGTTGAGTCCTTACTCTTGGAATAGTCGGATGAAATCTGGTCCTCTTGCACCAGTGCTGCTCCTGCATCAACTGATCGTAGATAATGGCTTCCAAAGTCTCTGACTAGCAGCTGACTCTTGTAACGCGCATCGAGCGTTCTGTTAGCTTTGAGATCATTCGCAATTTCCATAAGACGAAATTTAAACCCTGGAGCGAGTTGGGCCTCGTCTTTGAGTCGAGCGGTATACCTGTGATATCGAAGTTGAACTCGAGTCGTTATGGTTTTGTCCCCAATCTGTTGACTCTTGGCATGTTGGTAGCTATCCGAAAAGCTTCCACCAATACTAACCCCGAATAAACTGAATCCGGCATCCACATTGATTGATCTTGCTGTGACGCTTTCGTAGTCTGAGTAATGGGATATTACCTCCGCATATGTGTTCACCTTGCTGGTCTTTGATTGTATGGTCTCAACACAGTCAGGGAGGAGAAACCGTCCGTCCAGGGTTGTTTGGCACAGGGAGTAGTTGTAGGCCACCACGCTCACGCTGTCCTCGTTACGTAGGTTGTCCCAGCCGATACCTGGTAAGACTTCGAAACGTTCTCCCTTTTCTGGATGACAAGCTCTGGGGTCTCCCATCGGGAACTGGTTGCTGTCTTCCGGAGTTCTATCTCCGGCAACAAGCTTTGCAGGAACATCCTGTTGGGCAGCAAGTATCTTTACTGCCAGGAGGACGATTATCGGAATCAGAAACATCTTCCACCCAGATGGCCAGACTTTTAACATCTGGCCTCTGGGTCGAATCGTTTCCTTAAGAAGTTCTGTGTGACGTCATGTCACGCGACAGTTGAGGAAGACATGTGATTAGGAAATATACCTCACACCATAGCAACGTCAAAGAAAGATGACATTTCGACAACCAGCCAATAAGGAAAGTTGATTATTTTCACTGTTTTTCCCACCAACATTATGTCATATTTATTTGTTTTATTTAACGATGGTAATACAGTAGAAAGTGCTTCCTGTTGTCGGCGTGGTGGAGTAGCCAAGTGGTTGGTGCGTTTCAGTTGTCACGCCTAATGCCAGGGTTTGATTCTCTACAGAACGATTTTTTTAATCGGACAGATTGATTCCTTTGGTCCTTGCCATTAGTTGGCCTTTGCTTGCCAAACCATGTGGAGACGTATGGTGGCTGATTAGGGCCATCGCTTTCTCGTCTTAAAATTCGGAGGCGAGAAAGCGAGAAAGCGATATCACGAGACGAGAAAGCGATAACACGAGACGAGAAAGCGATGGCCCTAATCAGCCACCATAGAGACGACCCTGTGAGTGAATTGGGTTGGCTTGGCTTTTACGCAGCTTCTAGCATTATTCCAGCAATATCACCGGGAATGGGCTTCACACATTGTACCCATATTGGGAATCGAACCCGGGCCTTCAGTGTGACGAGCGAACGCTTTAACCACCCAAACGCCCCTGATGACTTGTGAAGAGATAATCCGCAAGCACGTGATAGTGCTGCAATATTACCAGTGCGGCGTAAAACTGTAGTCACGCATTCTTCCTGTTCTAGCCAAGGATTAACATCACATGTCGCCAACAACAGTTCTTCCATATGTAAGGGCTGAAGCATATAAAAGAAAGCCCGGGTATATTAGCAATCGTCCAGGGCCCTGGGCCTAGATTTTCGAAGCTCTCTTAGCGCTAAGATAGTCGTAAGTGCTATACATTAACATTAACTTACGACTATCTTAGCGCTAAGAGAGCTTCGAAAATCTAGCCCTGTTTCACAAAGCTCTCGTAAGCCTAAGATCTCGTAACTTTCCTCGTAGCATTCCTACCTCCTATACTGTAACACTGACTTACGAAAGTCGTGGCGCTAAGAGAGCCTTGTGAAACGGGGCGCTGGCAGGTAAAAGTTTAGTTACTTCCGTTTTGTTTACAAGCAGAAACGTTATGATGTATACTACTCAAAAGAAATTACAGATCACCCGATATGTGCATATGGCTATAGTTAATATCTGTCCTGCCGAATTTCGGATTAGCTATGGTCATTAAGAGCATGACTTAGTCATAGGAATCAGTAGGGTGTAAGACTGGGCAAGGTATGAGTTTCACAAAGCTCTCGTAAGCCTAAGATCTCGAGCTCGTAACTTTTCTCGTAGCATTTGTACCTCCTATACTGTAGCAAAGACTTACGACAGTCGTAGAGCTACGGTAGCTTTGTGAAACGGGGCCCAAAGGAACACCACAGGTCATTGCTTACTTAGGCATAGGGTAGCCTACTGGTTAAAGCGTACACTCGTCACACCGAAGACCCGGGTTCCATTCCCCACATGGGTACAATGTGTGAAGCCTTTTTCCGGAGTCACCCGGCGTGATATTGCTGGAATATTGCTAAAAGCGGCGCGATACTCACTCTCTCACTCCTTAATTATATCGTAAGGACAGAGACCTCAATGGACCAGAAAGTCTTGTAGCGACTATTGGGAACATTTAAAAATAGTAAGATTTCTTTTGGAAATGGGTTGGTTGAGTGTGTTCAATATGAAGGTGTGGTCTGAAACTCCAGTGAGAAAGATGACAGCACTTAGTAAGCAAATGTCATGTCATGTATTTTTCGAACAATTCGGATCGTTATTTTACCTCAGCCGAGCTACCATTTCATTATAAGTTGCTGCAGATACACTCATCGAAGACCGCCATACACTTCAACATAAATTGTACACACATGACGTACACACATGACGTACACACATGACATACACACACGACGTACACTATACACGCACTGGGAATTGAACACACAGTAAACTGCACACACACTGTACACCGTTTTGCTGTGGTTGTTGTTTAACCAGTGTATGCAATAAAACCCGTCCAACAGCCCGTGACGGGCTTTATTACATACACTGATTTATGACAGACGGTCTAAATTTACAGCTGGCCAGCCCGATGGTCTGGTAAAAAAAAATACATATTCCATACATCCGAGTAAATCTACCATATCATAAAATCTAATCCCTAAAAATGACGGTTGTGAATAGACAGTCAATACATGTCTCAGGTTCATTAAATTATTCATGTAACTAAAAACATTTCTTTGGATTGTGTGGTCTGGCTAAATCCATTTTGGGCTGGTAACATTTTGAAGGTACCAGCCCTGATGTCTGGCTGGGTTTTTGGCTTATTTCATGCACTGGTTTAACGCCGCAAAGCTGCGCATATAGATTTAACCCAACTAAACTTGGGACCTAACACTTAAACAAACAAACACAACACACACACACACACACACACACACACACGCACGCACGCACGCACGCACGCACGCACGCACGCACGCACGCACGCACGCACGAACTTCAATGTCATGTTACATGACCTTCCAGTGATCATCAGCATGAGCAATAAGGATGCGATGACATGTGTCAAGCAAATCAGCGAGCCTGACCATCCGATCCTGTTAGTCCCCTGTTACAACAAGCACGGGTTGCTGAAGACCACTTCTAACCCGGATCTTCACGAGGGGAGACAAGCACGGGTTGCTGAAGACCACTTCTAACCCGGATCTTCACGAGGGGAGACAAGCACGGGTTGCTGAAGACCAATTCTAACCCGGATCTTCACGGCACTGTACATTGTACACAAGTGAGACAATTATAACACCCTGCAGGGTGGTACACGATGTTCATAACGACGTATTTACACGTCGTAGAGATGTACCCGGAAGATCAATAAAGGTAGCGTTATACAATGACCAATCCAATAACATGATTTGACAGTAATTTATCGATGATAATAAATTTAAACAAAGATTAGTTCCCGAATCGTGACCCCGACTCCATATCTATGAGAACCAGGTTAACACCCTGTTTACTGAGCATTAATGTTTGACGTGTTCATATATCGATCCGACCTGTCTTGTCAAATTACTTCCTGAATCAGTCAATACACAGATACTACCCATCAAAAGGTTAGACTCAATCACTAGAAGTTATGTACATGTGTACATATGGTTACAACGAAGATGGATTTCTCCACTAACTTGTGGGGAAACATCTGAAAACCTTATGCAGATTAATTGCACGAGGATCATGCATTAAACTGCTGAAAAGCATGTTCAAATATCGTGCATGTGAACAGCTGCGTTTTGGTGTAAAGTTTTGATATAAAATCGCCATTTTTCACCGAGTTTCATCATTTATTGAACACATGACAATAAACTTTTCAACGTTACGAATTCGTTTTACAATACATCAGTTCATGTATAAACACTACCTTTAAACTGTATGGATTATTTTACAAAATCTAGTTTAGAACAGTTGACTGAAGTAATGGCTACATTTACATTAGTGAGTCTAAACTTTTGATGCACGCGCACACACGCACATACACACATACATACATACATACATACATACATACATACATACATACATACATACATACATACATACATACATACATACATACATACATACATACATACATACATACATACATACATACAAACCAACTTTCAAGTCCCAGTCATCGTGGATGTGTACAGTAATCATTATCTGAGTAGTGATAATACCTAATTAATATTAGCACATCGTTATATAATTATTTCATGTGGGACCACACTAGGTCTAGTTAATCTTTGCATATTGCATATTATTGTGCTAGGAGAGTGTGGAGAGATGACCTAAATGTAAAACAATAAGCTTGGTCCACGTGTGACAGGGCAATAAATTTACATGATATGTAGTATCTTTGGATCTCATTTTTGATCTGATTAAAGTTTGGTTTAACATCTTGTCTGCTCATTGTGTAAATATTCTTCTTTACAATTAGGCAGATAATGTTAAGAGGGTCGTTATTTTTTCCCTTAAAACCAAACAATATATTTTCTAGTGTTAATTCAATTTGTCCTTCGCCCAATGTCTCGAGCCATGAGGCCAGTTCCGTCCACACTCCCTTCACACATCTGCACTTAAACAGTATGTGCCGTACACAAGTGAGGCACTGGTTGTGGAGTGACCAGTGATTGGTTGTAAGGTAGAACCATCTAAACACAAGTGAGGCTCTGGTTGTGGAGTGACCAGTGATTGGTTGTAAGGTAGAACCATCTAAACACAAGTGAGGCTCTGGTTGTGGAGTGACCAAGGATTGGTTGTAAGGTAGAACCATCTAAACACAAGTGAGACTCTGGTTGTGGAGTGACCAGTGATTGGTTGTAAGGTAGAACCATCTAAACACAAGTGAAGCTCTGGTTGTGGAGTGACCAAGGATTGGTTGTAAGGTAGAACCATCTAAACACAAGTGAGGCTCTGGTTGTGGAGTGACCAAGGATTGGTTGTAAGGTAGAACCATCTAAACACAAGTGAGACTCTGGTTGTGGAGTGACCAGTGATTGGTTGTAAGGTAGAACCATCTAAACACAAGTGAGGCTCTGGTTGTGGAGTGACCAAGGATTGGTTGTAAGGTAGAACCATCTAAACACAAGTGAGGCACTGGTTGTGGAGTGACCAGTGATTGGTTGTAAGGTAGAACCATCTTAACACAAGTGAGACTCTGGTTGTGGAGTGACCAGTGATTGGTTGTAAGGTAGAACCATCTAAACACAAGTGAGGCTCTGGTTGTGGAGTGACCAAGGATTGGTTGTAAGGTAGAACCATCTTAACACAAGTGAGACTCTGGTT